AATAATCGAGTGATCCCTCGTAAAACGTAACGTAAAAGCACCCGAGCGAAAATCACGCCTATTTCGAGAGCTACCAGAGTTTTGAAAACTTTCGAAATTCCGCGAAATCTCTTTCCGCACGAAATCACGAAAGGATATTCACTCTGTATAGATAGGAGAGAGTTGCCGTAAAAAAATCGTATCTCATCGATTTCTTTATTATTATCGAATATGACGAGATCCAACGGTAAAAATGAGAAACAAATGAGAAATATAAAAAAAATTTTCAAATTATATCCAATATGATGCGTGCTACAAATATTTGAATAAAAAAAATCAGGTACGATTTAGAAGATCGATATGATCCCAACAAATTTCCTCTACATTACGCATTGTAACGCGGATAACACGAAATATACAGCTTACATGTCTCACATATTAAATATTCTATTAAATATTCTATTAAATATTTAAATATACTATTAAATATTCATATAACTAAGATAAAAAACGAACCGTTAAAATTTATTCGCGACTTACGATGGCAAAATCAGCAAAAAACTAATCAATATTAACGCTTAGAACAAACGTAATTATTGCAAGAGAGACATGAGATGTCAAGACCATCAGGTTGTTACAAGCACTCGGATAAATCTGATGCAAACTAGGACATGGGAGTGCGGTAAGGTAGGGTAACCACCAAAACTGTTTCAAAGTTGGTAACGCATACGGTGACGTTGTCTTGGATGTGCAGAGAAATTTAAATTCAAGCTTGAGTTTCTCTCCAAGATTGACGTGCAACTAATATTAAGACCTTTTGTGTTGCTCTGCAAATGCACGCCATCCCGTCGGTTACCAAACAAATATTGAACGCTATTATTATTTAGAGTCTGCCATACTTGAAGACTGCCTCATTCTTCAACTCCTCGGTTCCTTAACACAAGATACACGTCACATTCACGTCACGTCATATACCTCTCCTTTTATCACGGTCGCTGTTACAATTTATAGTACAACTGTTGTCGCGCTATCGATATATTCGATGTTAAGGTATAGTCGGCGAGTTAACAAACGGCGCTAATACTTGACACTCCCGCCGCGGGAGAGAGATTTGTCAACTCGCAATCCATACCCGTCGCTCGATCGCGCATCGCGCGATTCGTCGCGGCTGAATTAATTATACCATCGATCACCCTGTATTCTTTTCCCTGGCGAGCACGAAGCGCTCGTATATCATATTGCGTCACCACTATGAAAGAGAATAGGGCCCAGGTCCGCGGTGAAACATAGCGTGCGCATAACGGACTGTGAGATCTCTTGTCCATTTTCTTTCCCCCTTTTTCCGAAATACGGTATAATATTGCGTAATGGAGGTCCGCGTTTGTGTGTTCCGTGACGAGATCAAGCGAGCGAGCGAGCAGACGATGATGGAAGTCAAAGCTCACGATTGCGAATTACTACGAATGACCTGCGATCTCGCTTCGACTAAACAAGCGATTATCGTACATGAATAAAAGAGAAATAAAAGGAGAAAATTTCGGCTTCTATCAGCTCGCACGACTCGTCAGTCGCCCGATTTATCGAATCACTTCAATAAGGTAAAAGTACAAATACTTGTCCGAGTTTTCTTGAGTATATTAACGGTATTTATAATATATAGAAGAGAAACCTTTTCTATGTTTAGGGCAACCGACAATTGTGATAATTGTAATGCATTACAATAAAGTGATTAATAATAAGTAACTAAATAATTTATAATAAATAGATTAATTTATAATAAAGAGATTAACAAGTCACTAAATAATTTTTCAAATATATAACCCGAATGAGCGGTATGGAATGACTTGGTCGAATGTTATGGAAATTCCTTCAAGTTTCGAACGAACAAATTCATCAATCACCTTACGGTGAGCAATCGGGTGAGTCGTGAAAAAGTCACTTCAAAAAGTGTAATCGCATGATTTAATTGTTGTCTCTCTAAAAAACGGCTTCCGCGCTACTTAATCCATAAGTAATTTGTATTTCATATCGCGATCGAAATCGACAGCAGTAAAGAGGAGTTAGGTGGCGGATGAAGTGATGGATGCTTCGAAACGTCGCGATGTTTTGAAAAATTGATGAAAGGACGTTAAATTGCCTGGCCTGATGCAGCCGCGTAAATACGTCACGCGATTCGCGGATGCATTCTGGCGTTCGCCAGGCATGTAACTCGATTGAGAAATCTTCGCGACATCCTCGCGAGAAAGCTCGGACAAAGCTCAACCAACTAACTAACGGTATAATTCAAAAATTTTTCAAACGTACCCGCGTTTAGTGTTCGACTAAAATGTGTGTGTATCACAGTATTTTCTAAGTTCAGAGATCTCGTTGTTGTATGATTAATTTTATATCATATTCCAATGTTTATTTCAGGCACATAATAAGCGAACTGTAATTTTACACTCGAATTTTATATTCTCTAATGATCCGGAAGACTGGTCACTGTTAAGGCATTTGAAAGTTTCCGGCACTTCTGCCTTTG